AGGGGTAAAAGACAATTTAACAGTGACCCATTGACCATCTGGGCACACCTCCCCAGGGATTGGCTAGGCCCTACTACATAGGCCAGGGATTTAAATGGTCCCTCGTTAAGCTCTAGAGTCTTCTAGAGCTTCTTCAAGAGGCAAGGGGAAGTTGTCAAACTCCCAGCCTTGGAACCCTGGACAGACTATAATAAACAATTACTGCTTGATCCATTCCCCTCCCCCCCCCCCCCTTTCCCTTAAAAAATTAGGAACTGCCCTCATGGGTCGTAACCCGAAAAACTGCTGTGGAGTATCCCACAATACCAAAGGGTGAGGATGAAGGGAAATAACAAGGTAACAAGGTGACAAATTTTATGTGGCATTCCACATAAAAGGATAACGGTTTACACAAGTGCAAAATTCAATTGCAAACTTTGCCTAAGGTCATGGGAGATTGGCACCATGTCATATCGGGACCAAATCAGGTGTCAGAACTTTTTTTTTTATGTTGCTCTTCTGCAAGAGAGAGTTATCAGAACAATATATACAGTACACTGCAATGCAAGATTGGATCATTATCTCCTTAAAGATAATCCTCCAGCAAACGTCAGTATCCTAACACTCTTTCTAACCTAAGGCATGGGATTTAAGTCCATAAATCACACTCCTATTTAAACTGCCAGCTACTGACCAAATACTAAAAGGCCCAAAATGGCCTAAATGCAAGGTAGGACATATACATCTTATCTAATCTAAAATCTTAACTACAGCGCTAATATCTATACAATTTCAGCAGAGCAGTGTCACTCCCTAGCCAGGGATACAAGGCCTACAGGAAGAACTAAACTTCTAATATCTACATTCTGACCATTGGCTCTGGAGGTCCAAAGTCCAGTGAGCCTGACATCACCAGCAACCGTCGCCCCATGTTCTTTTTTCTTTCATCACATCTTCGGCAGCACAGGTGTAGATGCAGAGGACTCTTTCCCAAAAGCATGGGAAAAGGTTTTTAAGGTGAGGAGTTTCCCCCTATTTTGGGCAAGAGTTCAGTACAGTTTGCAGGTGTTCCAGCCCTGCAGTCTCAGGAGCAATGGCAGAACACATTGTTGGCTCTCTTTACTAGATGCCGATGTGCCTTGTATTAGGTAGCAATTCTTGAAAAGGTGCGAGGGGGGGAGATAAGTCTACTCAATCCTTCTTTGTATTCTTTACTCAGCTGCAGTCTTCCACCACAAAGTGACAACTGAGAGGCAAGTTCTTTTTCTGCTAATTCAGGTACAACAGCTGGTGTGGGGCTCTGAAGCTGTGGTGTGCGTGTTTGCCTCAGAATTTGCAGCAGGGATGGACTGTCGCGCTGTCTCCTGCCTCTCCATCTTATCCCTCTAGGACCACTCTGAGGATGATTCCCCCTATATGTGTTTCACTTTGCTATGCCCCCCTCATAGTCCTCCACATCAAATGTAGGCAACCAAGGGTCAGGTTCTACATCACGTGTCACCCCTAGGAGCTAACCGGCACTGCAGCTATGGGCTTTTGACAGTTTGGGCATACTACACACAGCTGTTCAGTCCCTCTCACTGTCCCTAGCGCAAAACATCCTGATATATACACCTGTAATATTCATGTACTCCTGGAATTTGGGCCATCCACTTCAATCCAGTTCAATTGCTCCAGGAATACACTACACTGTTGTTGTGATATCACTGTGCGTGCTTCTCTCCATTTTTTGCCACATAGACTTCCACCATCTCCATGCGTATCACAAACTGGGCGCCAAACTCTTTCCGTGATGAACAGACTCCTCATGAAACAGATTACTTTAACTCTTCACTGCCTACAAGGAATGCACTATGTACTGGTTTCCTTGACAGACCTCCACTTATTCACAGTAAACAGCACCCCAGCAATCCTCTTCCACTATCGGATGTATTAAATAGTCCTCAGGAGCAACCCCAATTCCTTGATCTCTCCTGTTGGTTACCACTGACAAAAGCCACATGTACTGTAGAGAATGAGCCCCCAAATGTAGCGCTACCCTTGCTAAGAACTGCTCGTAGCATTGTACACAAGTTTGTTCTCTAATCAGTTGCAGGGCAGCAAGGCACACAGCACCATTTCATCCACTCAAGCTCAAGAAATAGTCCAAGAGTGTCTTTTCGAAGTTGATTTGCTAAGTAACTGGTTTTTGGGAGGACAATGGAGTATGGGACACTCTGAAACGCTTGATGCACAAACTGCAGAGGACTCTTTTCCTATCTCTAAGCAGCAACAATACAGAGTCATTCACTCCCAGCTGAGGACCGGGAGAATTGTTGGGCACATGTAGCAGTTGTAGGCTGAAGTAGTCTAGATTCTTGGCAATGGGAGACCACAAGACTCACTGCAGCACAGGGGGGTTTGGCTCTACTCACAGTGTAGAGTGTTGTGTGCTAACCAGTACAACTTAAAGTGGTAATTAAACCAAAGGCAAAACATTTATTATAATGCAGCTTACCAATTCTTAGATGTGAATGGCTACATTTGTTTTCTTTAGGCTCTTTTTTTTATTTTCACCTGGTAATCCAGCCAGTAAGTCTGCTGTTTTTCAGACCAAGCTCTCCTGCAAATGTGACAGTTACAGGGTTGAGATAAACCGGGGGTGCTTACAATGATCCCTTTTTCTTTGATTCGTAATGTAAAACCTTTATCCCAAAAGGAAAAAAGACCTGTTGCAGTAACTGCTTCTGTAGCTGCAGCATGAGCCTGGAGTTTGGTTTCAATTTCTTAGTGTATCTAAATCTGCTAGTTTGTCTAAAACACTCCAGTGCTGCTGTTTCAAAGATGCCCCTTCATCCAGAGTCAAAGCACTCTAATGCAGGAGGTGGTGTTATGGCTAAATCACCTGGTGAAAACAGAGGGAAAAAAAAATATAAAACTAATGCAGCTATCGCATCTAAGGATTGGTAAATGTCAATATATTATATTTTAGGTTTATTAATACTTTTAAATATGGTTTCAATAGTAATGCTGGGTACTCTTTTTGGGTTTAAACTCTTTTACAAAGTGTATTGCTGCAGTTTCCTCTGTTCAATAATACAAACATCATGCACACTGTATTTTAGGAAACGAAAAATTCTGTAGCATTGCAACTGTTTTGTCTCTGTTATCAGGCATCATTTTCTGCACTGCCGAAAAAAAGTGTGGGTTGAGACCAGGTGTAGTGAGGAAACCCTTGCTGTAAAGATAAATAATTTGTGATTTATACTTCCCATTATTGACACAGCAGACTAATCGATCTTGCAACACAGCATTGATTAATTCTCCAAACTGGCAGTGTTCTGCTGAACACCTCAATTCTGCAATTAGATATTGACTTGGTTTAAATTTGCTTCCTTTATGAAACTGAAACCTTTGTATAAATGACAGATGGTGTTGGAGAAAAATGTTCCTTTAAAACATTGTTAGGCACTCCATGTATAAAGTCATGTTAAAAACTTTAGTTTTTCAGCTTTTTTTTTGCGAGAAGATTTGTGCTAGGAGGGAAGAATTGGGGGGGGGGGGATTTGTGGCTAGGAGAGTGTAATTAGGTAGGAGGGGCTGTGCTAAGAGGAGAGATGTGTGCTAGAAGGGGGATTTGGAGGGAAGATTTTACTAGGGAGGATTTGGGGGGGGGGGGGATTTTGCACATGTACTAGCCAGGGGGGATTTGGGAGGAGTATTTGTGTTAGGAGTGGGATTTGGGGGGCAGGAAACATTTGTTACTAGGACCGGGTGGATTTGGGGGGGGGTTCTGCTTGAAGGGTGGTCTGTCCACCAATTTTGGGGGAGAGGATTTTCTTACTTCCATTGTGGAGGGGAATTGATTAGCGGGTGTTTTGAGGGAGAGGATATGTACTTAGGATGTTGGGAAAGGATTTATGATGGGGGGGGAATTTGGGGAGAGGTTTATGTTGGGGGGGGGGAGTTTGGGGTGGATTTGTGGGGTGTATTGGGGGGATTTTGGGGGGGGTTTATTTTGGATTGGGTTTTTGGGGGGAGGGGTACGGGGGTGTGGGGATTAGGGGGGGATTTGGGGTTGGGGGGGTTAGGGTTGGTTGGTGTGGGGGTTTGGGGGGGGGGGGAGGTTGGGGGATTGGTTTGGTGGAGGGGGTGGGGGGTGGGGATCGGGGGGAAATTGTATTGGATGGGGGATGTGGGTGGGAATTTGTGCTAGAAGGGGGGATTTAGAAGGAAAGAGAATGTGTGCTAAGAAAGGTGATTTTATTTAGGTCAAGAGGAGGGTGTAGGGAATTGGAGCTGGAAGGTTGAAATATTGGGGGGCAAAAATAGGCTGGGAGGCAGATTTGGAGTGTTGGAGGATAGGGATTTAGGATTTTTGTTTGGGGAGAATTTTGGCAGAGGGAATTTGTGTTTAGGGGTGAAACGTGTTGAATTAGTGAAACAGATTTCCTCCTCCCCACATATGACTACATACTGATCTCAGCTATGTACTTGTGGGAGAGGGAGGTCTTTTGAGTGCCCTGTGAGCAGGACCCTGTCCTCAGCGACTGGGTTTTGCCTGTCTCTGTGAACTTTGGGACCACTGTCTCCGCCCTGCTGGGCCCTGTACCACCCCTGCTGACCCCTGTTTCTCTGCACTGCTGCCCCTATCCTCTAGATCCCTATCCTCCATCCTTGCTGACCTTGCCCTCTGTCATGCTATAACCCCTTTGTACAGTGCCTATTTGATAAACCCACTGTACACTGCCCTACATACTAATGACCTCAAATGACCCTCTGTAACATTATGCCCTAGCCAAACTGCCAACTGTAGCCTTTTTTTTATTCCTCTGCTAACCCCCTGTACACCAAACCTACTGACATACATTACACTGCACTGCTGACCGCCACATCCTCTGTCGCCCTGGAGACATTTTTTTACTGCACACCCCCAAATCACACAGGCTAGATCCAGCCCTGAACGGTGCTAATATTTTTTTTTATTTGTATTTTTATGTATTTAAGACTTCCTGTCTCCTGGGTGGGGCTTTGAAAAAAACGTGGAAAGAGAGAAATTATTATTGTCTAGCATGGGGGGGACTGACAACTGCAGGTGGCCCCGGGAAATAGAGGATCATTGGGGCCCCTGTGTCCTTGCCCAAACTCAAATAAGCCTATGAAAAAAAAAAAAAAAGAAAAAAGTGTACCAGGAGCATTCATGGGGTCCCCTACTGACCCCGGGCCTTCAGGCAGTGCCTTAGAGTTTCCAAATGGTCAGTTGCTCGCCCCTGATTGTCTAGTATTACTATGTTCCAATAGTTTTAATGCAGCTGCCCATAGCTTCTTGAGTGTGTTTCTGAATTCTTTGTGACAGTAGTGATCTCTTCAACCGTTCTATTTTGGTATTATTGCACATGCACCGTGCCAGACAGCTAGACCTGTGCTACTGTAATGTGTGTATTACTGTTTATTGCAATAGCGTTTATATATACACAGTGAAGGAAAATAAGTATTTGATACCCTGCTGATTTTGAATGTTTTCCCACTCCGCACTAAGAAAATGATCAGTCTAAAATCGAATGGGTCTTTTTTTTTTTGTATTGTAACACTGTTGTAGGAGACAGAATAGCATAGCAACAAAAAATTCAATGCATGGCTAGCAAATTATGCACTGATTTGCATGTTCATGAGGGAAATGTGTATCTGATCCCCTATCATTAAGCAGGATTTTTCCTGGCTACCAGGTGTCTTTCATACAGGTAACAAGCTGAGATTAAAAACAGTCACTTAAAGGGAGTGCTGCTAATCTCATTTTGTTACCTGTATAATAGACACCTGTCCACAGAAGCAATCAAACAAGCTGTCCAAGATTATGTCAGGGGGGACTAGATTGTAGACCTACACAAGGCTGTAGGATTGGGCTACAAAACTATCGCCAAGCAGCTTGGTGAGAAGGTGTGACAACAGTTGGTGCAATCATTCGCAAATGGAAGAAACACAAAAAACAACTGTCAGTCTCCCTAGGTCTGGTGCACCACGCAAGATCTCACCTCGTGGAGTGTCCATGATCATGAGAACAGTGAGGAATCATCCCAAAACTACATGTGAGGAACTTGTCAATGATCTCCAGGCAGCTGGGACCACAGCCACCAAGAAAACAATTGGTAACACACTACGCCGACAAGGATTGATATCCTGCAGTGCCCTCAAGGTCCCTCTGCTCAAGAAAGCACATGTCCAGGCTTGTCTGAAGTTTGCCACTGAACATCTGAATGATGCGGAGGAGGACTGGTTGAAAGTGTTGTGGTCAGATGAGACCAAAATCCAGCTCTTTGGCATCAACTCAACTCGCCATGTTTGGAGGAGGAGGAATGCTGCATTTTTGACCCCAAGAACACCATCTCAACTGTCAAACACAGGTGGTGGAAACATTCTGCTTTGGGGGTGTTTTTCTGCTAAGGGGACAAGACAACTCAAAAGGGATGATGGACGGGGCAATGTACCGTCAAATCTTGGGTGAGAACCTTCTTACCTCAGCCAGGACATTGAAAAATGGGTCGTGGATGGGTGTTTCAGCATGACAATGACCCAAAACACACGGTTAAGGCAACAAAAGAGTGGCTCAAGAAGAAGCACATTAGGTCCTGGAGTGGCCTAGCCAGTCTCCAGACTTTAATCCGATTGAAAATCTGTGGAGGAAGCTGAAAATGCGAGTTGCCAAACGTCAGCCACCAAACCTTAATGACTTGGAGAGGATCTGCCAAGAGGAGTGGGACAAAATCCCTCCTGAGATGTGTGCAAACCTGGTGGCCAACTACAGGAAACGTCTGACCTCTGTGATTGCCAACAAGGGATTTGCCACCAAGTACTAAGTCATGTTTTGTGAAGGGGATCAAATACTTATTTCCCTCATGAACATGAAAATCAGTGCATAATTTGTTAGACATGCATTTCTTTTTATTGCTATTCTGTCTCTCAGTGTTACAATACACCTACCATTTGATTTTTAGACTGATCATTTCATTGTGAATGGGCAAACATTCAAAATCATCAGGGGATCAAATACTTATTTCCTTCACTGTAGCTCCTGTTATTTTAGTTAACCTTGTCTCTTGTGGTCTGGGATTCTATATCTAGTTTAAGCTTAGGGCTTGATTACTAGCATAGGCTAGAGACAGGTTAGAACATTCGCCTAACAGCCACTTCTGGTAATTAGAGATCCAGTTGCATTTCAGAATAGAAACTACTAGGGGAGAGACTTAAGAGCAGAGGAGATAGGCTGACTCTAAGTTTTAATGCCACACCACATTTTCTGCCTGTGAGAAGCTGCATTCTAAGCTGGTTGGACAATAGTCGGAGGATCTCCCCAACGCCCCTAATCTTGTCTTCAAAAAGACAGACAACACATCATGATCATCCTCAGGGGGTCCCTGCAACTAGACTTTACTGCAACATTTATCTGGAAATATCTATGTTAACAACTATATACACCTGGATATATGTCCACAATTCCATCAGGACTTTTGTTGGGCTCTTTGCTGACAATACGTTTTTGTACATTGGATGTATGTACTAATATTAATCTCTTATATACAGCTCATATTATTTCCATACTGGTGTGCATCTGTAGATTTAAGGTTAATATTACAGTATACAGTAGTTCTACTACTCCCAATTTCTTTGATTAAATTACTATTTCATTTCCAAGGAAGGGAATCCCCTTGGTTCATAGAGGCCTTGTCCTGGGTGGAGGCACTGCCAATTTCATTATCAAACCCATTTTTCCACTCAGAAAAAGTTCTGGTTTCTCTTATTTATCTAAAGGTTTAGCGCACTATTCTGTTTGAGGAGGGTCATTTCTTCTAACGCCCCCCCCCCCCCAAAAAAAAAAAGTGCAGGAAAGAGGATGCTTGGTCTAGCAGCATGAAGGAGTCTGTTTGAATGCAGGATTGGGTAAATTAAACTGCTGTACACTGTTCCCTAGGCATAAACAAGCAGTTAAAGCATATCTATGAAAATGTAAAATCATATATTCATTTTTAAAATTATTTCTAGATTACTCCTATAAATCTGAACTATCTTGAAGTCTGTAAACTTACATTTACAAGGTGCTCCGTGAGTAGGTGCTGCTGTGTCACAGAGATTAGAGAACCTGCCTTCAGAACTACAGAGGTGCTGAGAGGAGGAATTTCAGGAGGTGGAGTCTGTACAGGAATCACAGCTTGCAGGCAAGTACTTTGGGAAATGTATGTAGCACCCTCCTAGTGAGCTAGGGAGAGCTAGCTGGTCATTTTTTCTGTTAGAAGGGCTGAGTAGCAGCCTGGGCAATAGTCAGCTGGGTCAAATTTGGGTCAGGCTGGGGGCTGAGAGCTCTGCAGATCAGTTCCTTGATACCTACCCTGCTCTGGAATCTTGGAGGAGATTCTAGAAGCAGTGGGTGGGGGCAAGGAGGAGCTGGTCTGCACTCTTAATGGATTCTGACCAATACCAAAGCAGGAGGCTTGGCATGGGGTCAGGACAGCCTTTAAGAGTGACTGAGCCTGCTCAGTGGCAGGAGGGTTCAAGTGGAAGATGTGAGGAAGCAGAGATGCAGGAGCCCGGGAGTGGGCCCAGTGGGAAGAGGCCTACCTGCAGGCAGAAAGCAGGAAAGGAGGATTGCTCAACTTCACTGGCCTCCAGAGCGAGGACCACCTGCAGAGCCAGGAAAAAAGCCAGCCCAGCAGAAGGCTTGAAGGCAGCCACCTACATTAATCAACTTTCAGGACTGAGACTGAGTGAGTAGTCCTATACCCCCTGGTCCAGTTAAGGGGAAAAGAGCACTCTCGTAGGAAACCTGATGTGCTCCTTACCCAGGACTGTTTATTTAAAGTGACACTGGATCCCCTTACCCAGGGATTCCCTCAGGCAGCTGGATAATAAGAGGATTATCTGGGATGGTACACCAGGAGAGGCTGAAGAGCGCTCCAAGAAACGTTTCTACTGTGTAAAGACTTGTACATAGTTGTTAAGGAGTTTGTCCTCAGTTTACTGTTCCTTGGGGATCCCATACACCCCTTACCCCATCCAAGTTCAACACCCCTTAATAAAACATAAAACCAAGCTCAAGGACTGTTGACTGACTCTCAATGCAAGTCTGAGAAAATGGGTGTTGCCTGGCTGTTCAGGACTATAAGGGGACCCGAATCTTCAGCAACTTCTAAGGGGGTAGTGCTACATGTATTCCAAAGAATTGGAAAGTAAAGAGCAGAGGAGAAGCTGCGAAGCATACATGTGATGCAGGAAGTTGTGGAAGAGAGACGGCCAGCAGACAGGCAAAACTTCCCAACATGAAAGGAAATTTTTAAGTAAATGTAGCTCAGTGCTCCCTAGCCACAGCTACCCAGACAGGACTGTGACAGCTTACACCGCCATCCTGGCTGCAGTAGCGGTCATCTATCCCTTCCTGACCATGGAGAGGAGGAGGGAGAGGGAGAGGGAGAGGGAGAGAAACACTGTGAAAGAATGAGCCCACCCAGAAAACTGGAAAGGACTGCTGGGTCTAGAACCATGGGGAATGTAGTACCCAGGGAACAGCCACTGTTAACCACTTGCCGTCCAGCCACTGTTTATAAACGACAGGACGGTGGTACTCCAGGGGCGGGTTGCTGTTCATAAATGGCACCCGCCATTATGGACTGTGCGCGCTCCCTGGGAGTGCACAGCACCACGATCCGGTGCCTGCTGTGTCTGGAGAACACCGATCGTCGCACGGGACCTCTGTCTGAGGTCCTGATCATGTGATCACTGATTGGCCAATCAGTGATCATATGCAGAGTAGTAAGCAAGATGTTACTTCGGACATCATTGCTTACTACGTGTGAAATCTGTGAATGATCACAGAGGTCACATGGCACAAGGCTATTCACAACAGCCTTGTACCATGTGACAAGCTGTGACCAATCACAGCTCACACAGTAGTTCTCAATGGCTGCAAGAATGCAGCCAGAGAGAAGGAGAAATGATTGCTTTTACAGCCTTTATAGGTGTAAAAGCAATCAGTGTAAAAAAAAAAAAAAATTCTTCATCACCCCCCACAAGTAGTGCAGTGTCACAGTATGTAG